TTCGCAAAATGAAAAAAATCCAGGAGATCACAACAATGTGATCATAGGTAACACTACTGGGCTATAAAATGGCTATAAAAATGGTTAAGATGTAAATTTTACATCATGTATATTTTACCATAATTAAAAAACGTATAGGGTTTTTGTACTTCAAAAAAAAAGTCTCTAAAGACATGAAAACATGGAAAGATAAACCCCAAAATAGTAATGATCTCTGGATTTTGGAATGATAAATGTTCTTAGTTTCCTTCTTTATGTGCTTTTGCATTTTTCAGATTTTTACACAATAAACATGCTCTTGTTTTATAATCAGAAAAAATTTGAAGGAGAAAAAAAGTTACTGCCTTTAATCTTAAAACCAGTGGAAGTCCTGAAAGAGCCTGGCCCAGAGGACACATTATAACACCTTATTTTTCTCCCTTTTCTGTCTTCATACAACTGCTTTGTGTTCTTGATCCGCCCTCAGGACAGTCATCTCACATCCATTTACAAGCTGTGATCTTCTTTTGGTTTTCTTTCTTCAGACTCAACAATTCCAATCATAGTCACCTTTTCATCTGAATCCCATTATTATTTTCAGGCTAAAGTTTTGCAGAGAGTGCCATTAGTTACCTGGATTTTTGTTGGATTAAATAATTCATGAAATAAGTATTTTGATAACAACACTCAACAACTCTCTTTACTATATGGAAATTTTAATCGTAATCCTTGTGGAAGGGTTTTTTTTTTTTCCCCCTTCTTATTCTTGGCAATTTGATGTTCACAAGGTTTGCTCTCTTTTTTTTTTTTTTAAGAGAGGGAGAGAGACTGTGCTGGTGGGTGTGAGCAGGGTAGAGAAGGACAGAAGGAGAGGGAGAGAGAATCTTAAGCAGATTCCACGCCCAGCCCGGAGTCCAATATGGGCCTCCATCTCATGACCCTGAGATCGTGATCTGAGCTGAAATCAAGAGTCGGACACTTAACTGACTGAGCTGCCCAGGCGCCCCTCACAAGGTTTGCCGTAGATCGTATTCAGTGGTTGTTCTAGATGCATACCAACTGCAGTGTGTTACTCTGATACTTTAAGTCCCAGAGAAGTTAAAGACCTGAGAGACACATGATAAAAAGATTAGAGGAGCTACTTTGGCAAAGAGCCCCCTTCATTCTCACACACACCTCTCCTTTCTCTGTGGCCACTTACCCAAGTCACTGCTGCCACTTGGAGATGTTGGCTTATAGGACACTGCAGGTAGAGATGTCTAGTAGGTAGTTGTAGTAAGACAGGCAGCCGCCTATACATGATCTCTCATTTTTAGCCAGGCCCATTGCTACCAGGTAAAGACAAAATTTTCCAGTCTCTGTGCAATTAAGTGTGATCCTAAGACCAAGGGCTGGTTGCTGGTATGTTACCTGAAGGATGCGTGGGAGTTGCAGGAAGTCTCCTTTAGAACGAGAAAAAGTTCAATTTGGCTCTCCCTGTCCTCTCTCTTGTAGTCTGGGATAGGGATGTGTTGGCTGGCACCTAAGGGCCCATCTCGGACCATGAGGCCAAGAACTACACATGGGAGGCTTACTCAGAGCTGGGAGGAGCAGAATCTCTGATGAGTCCTGGACATGCCATGCCAGCCTTGGATGGCCTCCTTGTGGGCTTTTTTCCCATGAATGTATTGAGGCCCCTATTTGTTAGGTCTCTGCTAGTGAGAGATGAAACTAATTCCTAACTAACACTGAATTTGTTCCTAGATATAGAATCTGGAATAACAGAACCCAAATGTGACATTTCCTTAGTGGAAGAGAGGGAACGTCAGCATTAAGGATTCAATTATTCAGGCTGGGATTTAAAATATAGCCATGTGTATTTTCCGATATACCTCCTATCGAGAGATGGGATCTTGGTCCCCTCCACTGGAATTCAGGTTGGCTTGTGAGTGCATCTGCCAATAGTGTGCTGTGAAAGTGATAGTCTGTGCCTTCCGACACTGAATCATAATACACCATGCACCTGTCGCTGAATAATACTCGCTCTTGGAGCCCTGAGCTGCCATTTAAGAAAGCTGGGGATCTTGAAACCACCACACTGGGGAGGCCACTGACAGTCAATCAAACTGAGCTTGTCCTTTAGCCGTCCCAGCCTCTCTCACCCAGGCACTGCTCATCTCAGAGGTAGATCCTTCTGCTCCAGCTCTTCCAGACCCCAGCCCTCTTAGCCCTCCCCAAGAACTTCAAGTCATTTCAGTGGAGGCCTCCCAGCATGAATAAGACTTGTCCTTGCTATGCCCTTTTTAAATTCCTGACCCATAGAATCTGTAGGCATAATCAAATGGTGGTTCTTTTATACCGTTATATTCTGGGTTTTGTTTTGTTTTTGTTTATTTGCTCAGCAATAGAAAATTGGGACAACTGGTAATTCTCATTATCTTGTTAAGGTAAAAATTTAGTTTTCTGTCACAGAAAAGATGTTCAGAGGTAGGCAGACCAGGGCTACTTTGGTGTGTTCACTGTCAGCAGGAGTTCAGAACCCTTTAACCTCCCTGCTGTCTGGAATGTGGATACAATGGGTGGAGCTCTAGCAGCCATATTGGACCAGAAGGCAAACTTGAGGATGGCAGAAGCAAGAGCTAAGAGGAACCTGGGTATCTGCTAAGAAATAGAGAAATCAATTTCTTCTATCTTCTTTAAGACACTCTTAAGAATCAAAAGATCAAAAGTTTCTTGACCTTTTTGATTATGTAATGAAAAATAATGCTAACTGGTATAGAATTTGAATCCATGAATCAAGAACTTAGGAAACTGGCTTGGCTAGAGCTAAAGGTTTGAGAATTTTCAAGATAGAAGTGGTAGTTGAAGTCCTGGGTGTAGATGAGATTGCCTAAGGAGAGTACAGAGTGGGAAGAGAGGAGAGCTGAGGAGAGAACCTCAGGGAATACCAGGAGTTAATGGAGGGCAGGGGCAGTGAGACAACAGGAGGGGCTGGAAAGTGGGAAGGAAACCAGGATGGATGGTGTCCGGCAAACCTTGCCCCCTCCCTCTAGGTAGAAGCCTAGTTGGCAGCCCCTAATGCATTCCCCATGTGTATACAGCTAATATGGAACTTTCCCTTTGTCTTGCAAGGCTCTGTTTTGATGAAGCCCTTCTACGTGGGACCAAAAGGAAGCTCCTTGAAGTGTGGGGTCAATTGTTAATCATTTTTATTGTCCCAGTGCCTACCACAGTGACTGGCATGTAGTGAGAAGGCAAGAAATATTTACAGGCGGAACAGAGTTGAACTGCTGTTGGCAAGGAAGTCGTGGGAAGGGATGGTTTCAGGAAGCAGGAGTGGTCTGCAGTGCCAAATACCGAGAACAATCAAGTAAGATAAGGCCTGTAAAGGGCTGGTGCCATTTGGCTCAGTGTATCTGGCAATTAGGACGCTGGTGACCTTGGGGAGAAGTGTTTTCACGGGGACGTGGGGACAGAACACAGTGGTGTGTGAGAAGCCCAGGCAGGGGTGAGGGCAGGAATTGGCTGGTTTTGTAGCACTGGATAATGAGCGAAGATGAGTCAACAGCATTTACCCACAGGGCCATTTTATTCTGTGATCAAATAATACAATGGTTTTACAAGCCTCATTGTACGCACTTTGATGAATCCAAGGCAGGGCTGTCTTCACCGGCCAGCAAACAGGTCTTACGGGGTGGCTCACTCTAATTTAAGGAGAGCCTGTTTGTTGCAGATGGAGAGAAAAGATGTGAAGGTCGAGGCTGTTGGCTGTTCCAGCGGAGGGCATGGGCGGTGTCTCAGGTCCGCATTATCTGGGACCAGTTTCACAGGTCCAGGAGCCCTGTTTACCAGTGGCTTAGGGGCGCTCATGGATTCCTGCTTTCCAAGCTTATAGGAGAGTGTGGCATAAATCTACACCATTCAAATTTAATATGTGTAGTCTCGTGGGAATGGAGCAGAGATGGGTGTAGAGGGGAGGTGGGAATCTCCTTAAAAGGCACATTCTGATTCAGCAGATCTGGGGTGGGGCCTGAACTTTTGCATTTCTGATGAGTCCCCCACCACACTTTGAGTAGCAAGGATGGATTTTGGAAGTCGATTTTTCTGAACTTCCGTTACCTATCACCACTCGTCATCTCCTAGAGGCCAGGAAAGAGGGCCAAGTGTTCCAGGTTTGCTGGGCCTCGTGGGGACCACATGCCTTTCTGGTCACACCTTCCATCGGTCTGGGCTTCTCTATGACTCAGGTGACCTATTTCTTTAGTCATGTTCCTAGCCTGATGGGAGGCCTGGACACTTTGCTGGGCTTCTCTGTGTCCCAGGGTTTTCCCAGTGATTTGTCTGCCAGCACTCTGCGAGGATGGATGGGCTTCTTCCTTAGGGCTAACATACTCCCTGAAGGGTTTCCTTGTTTGTTCTCTCCGTGACTGAGAGCTTTGGGTATGCTGGCCACAGCGTTTACATGATAAATAGGAGGAATCCCACTTAGAAATAAATAATCCCACCTGAAAATAGGAGAGGGTGAGAAGGGAACCGAGGAGTGCTCCTAGAGCAGGCTGGTCGGCGAGCGCAGGCCCGAGGCCTGACTCCATTTACCTGCTCAGACGTCCCTGAGCTGCGCCCCCAGATCCTTGTTTGGTGAGCCTGAGCTGCAAACTCGGGCTTTGCCTGGCATTTTCCCGGGTGCTCAGATGAGGCGGCCTGGTTGAGATCCCAGGGATCACCGATTCTGGGGCTCAGAGGGGCTAGAGAGGGGGCGCTGAGACCCGTCACCCACCTGGTCTGGCTTTGTTGTTGAAGAGACCAGTGCTCGGTCTAGATCCTCTGGCTTCACACTATCTATGAACACCTTGATTCGAAACAATGAAAACCACAAAATATAATAGCCTATAAAAATCATGATTGCCTTTAATTTAAAAAGGCATTTTTCCAGAGAGCCCGCCATACTCCTCAGGTCCTCCCTTATTTATTCCTGGAGGCCCTCTATGCCAGGAGGCCGGGAGGAATCAAGTCAAGGAGGCTTTGAGCTCCAGTTTGCAGGCTGAGATCTCTGGGGGAACCAGTCTCTTCCATAGGCCACGATTTTATTCTCCACACTTTGGGCATGTGTGGGACCCTGTGGCTATGGGACCCCCTTCCCTGCAGGGATAGGTTTAAAAAAAAAATTCCTGTGGGTCTAAAATCCCAACACTTGCCTACGTTGTATTCCTTTGTCTCCTTCTCTATCTCCCTCAACTTGTTTAAATTTTTATTTTTTTGATAGAAAGCCCAGGTCAGCCTGCTTACACCCCTCGCCAGATAGCAGAGCCGGCGGCACAGGCCAGTCAGCCCCCATGGGCTCAGCGCCTCTGACCCTAGAAGCAGACAACAGGATCGGTGAGGCTCGCTGGGACTTAGGAGGAACATTGGCTCTTCAGGCGTTTCTTCTCCACTGCCAGTCTCAAGGCCTGAAGGAGCTTGTCTTTGTTATTCAGGATGTTGTACTCAGAGAGCTTCACCAGCTTGTCAAAGGCGGCCTCTGTGTATGTGAGTTCCTTGGTAGCGTATGGGGTTTTGGGGCCATAAATGTCCACGTGGCCCTGCTCCAGCTCCTCGGGGCTTCGCTCCACACCTGGAGGCAGCAGAAGGACTTGCTATATACGGAGGGTTGTAACCATTTGCATCTGTATCTCTCCCCATGGCCTGTCCCAGCCCACGTGGGGACTCACACCTGTGCGAAAACCACGCACACGTGGGCGCACACGTACACAAGCACCCATGCACACACACGCACACACGTGCACACCTCCACGCTCCCAGGGGAGAGATGCAGCTTGCCCATCTTAGGGCCACCCTAGCAGGACACAGCGCAGGGCACCTAGTGGGATGTGGATAAATGCTGAATGACTGAAAGAGCAGAGGATGACATTGCTGGCTCACACAGGGAGGGGCTTTGCTTTCTTCCCAAAGCCAAGGTTGGTTCAGACTAAAGTGGAACTGGGCTTCCCTGCTAGTACAGTCAGAAGATGGGGCCAGGCTAAACACAGGAGCTCTCAGCCCAAGGCCAGCAAGCAGGTGGTGGGAACCAAGCTCGGAGCCAGCTTACCTGGGGCCTTGTACTTCTGGAAGGTGTCACTGATGAGTGGGAAGAAAAGTACGATGGGGGAGTCAGGCTCCTGGGAATTCTCCATCAAGTAGCACTCCTTGAGGTTTTCCTCATCCTCTTGCAGCTCGTATTTGGGGAAGGGGATGTTCTGCAAGGAGCAGTACTCACAGGTTTGCTTCATGGGCTGGAATGAGGGGTGGGGTGGGTAAGCAACAAGGAGTTCTTAGTTCCAGCTTCCTGATTTCCCCCAGCCAACAATTCAGGTCTCACATGGCTTTGCCTCTTTGTGCTATTTTTGGAACAAAGGGCCTGAGGCGGTAGGTTGGTGTGTGTCCAACTGTAAGCTCCTTCTGAAGGTGGACAGAAGCCCTTTCAAGGATGCTTCACCCAAAACACAGACCTGGGGAGATGTGGCAGGCAGCCTGAGGGTGACTGGAGCTAGGCCACATCTGGCCAGGCTTCTGTGAGATGGGCATGGCCTTTGGAATGGACAAAGGGCCACAGGCTGGAAAGGACTCTGAAAGGGCATCTTTATAAAATATGATGTAACAGAAAGAGCAGTGGACTGAGAACATCAGAATCCCCTTACTTCTGCCCTCACCCTGTGTTCCAAGCACACTAGCTGTGCGATCTCAAGCAAGCCACTTCCCCTCTCTGTGCCTCAGTTTCCTGACTGTGCCATTTACCTCAAAGAGCTGGGGTAAAGATCAAGTGAGAGCACAGGTAGGAAAGCACAGCGTTACTCATTTATACACTTGAGTCCTTATCATTGGTGTCATGCTGGTGCTCTGTCTGTAAGCCCCTTTCCTGGGCTTCAGGCTAGGACTATAGTAAAGGAGACCAAAAAACAGTTTCTTCCCCTTAAAAGGCCAGAACTTTTCAAAGGTAAATAGAGAAAAATAAATAAAAACCTCTGATCCTGGCTTTTCATATAATCTCATGGAGGGCCCTATTTCCTGTGGAAAAGGGCAATGTGATTATTTTTAAAATAGGACATTATAAACTCTTGGAGTGGTACAAAACTTTAGAATGGACTGGACTCCATTAAAGTTGTTTTTAAAAACTCCTTTTTTTGCAGCTGATGAATGGCCAAATACAGCAAATGCTCAGATCATAAAATCGCTGAAATAAAACCAGAATTTGTTCCATGGGTCCCCTTGAAGCCCACCCTGCATGTGAGGGCCAGCTGGCTGCCCAACAACCTCCCCACCCCACCCCAAGAGGTTTGGATGGCTAACCTCACGCCAGGTAGAACAGCTTGAGTCTCTCAGATGCTAAGTCTTGGGGCCTACGGGGGAATGTCTGTTCTCCCATTTCCCAGTTTTGTGGGGGCTCGGTCCTGGGAGCCCCCACAACCGCGTGGCCTTTCAGTGGGCAGGAGCCTTTCTTTGTCACACTTGCCTTTGTCTGGGACCCAGCACAGTAATTGAGATGGATGATGAGGTCCACTTTTCTCTCAGGCCTCAGGAGGGGCGGGTAGCTGGAGTTGACGAAGAAGGCGGTGTCCAATAGGCACAGGTGGTTCACAGACTCTGTCAGCTGGTTCGGGAAGCCATCCAGCACTGTGTCTGAAAGCCAGGATTTACAGTTACCATCATGCCTTGCTGCCCTGATCTCAGAGGATGGACACAGGTGGCCCGTGTGGACGGAACACCCTGACTGGAGCTCCTTCATCTGGGCCTGGGCACTGGGCCTAACCCCTTCCAGCCAGGAACCCCCAATGAGTCCCAGTGCCCCTTGGGGTGGGGGCTGATGCAGAAGATTATTATCCTGGGGGCTGTAGCAAGTCTTTGCTACAACATAGATTAAAAACCCTTCTGACTTAGCCACAGAGTTTTGGGGTTGCAGGGGTGTAAGAATATCTTATAAATCAGTGCACACGCTGGGCCCAGAGCCAGCTGCCCTTTCTGCCCCAGACAGGGAGAATGAGCATTGTTAGGCCAGGCCAAAGCAGCCACTGGCAGGCTGTAGCCAAGGAAAATTCCAAAGACAGGGGCAAGTCAATCTTCAAGCCTTAGCAGGAAGGGGAGGGGGCACCGAGTTGAAGCTGTGTGACCACAATTTAAGACCTGGCCCTGCCACTTACCATGTTGGGGGTTCTTGAGCTGCGTCATTCCTGCCGCACCCTCAGGAGGCACCGCTCCCATTAAAAGGGGCCCCCAGAGCACAACGAGAGCAAGTCAAGGCCCACATTTCCCCAAGTTCTACCTGCTGGGATTGTTGTACAGATTCAAGTAATTACATACCAACAGTACAGCACCTACATTCAGAACCTCGCCAAACATGGAAGACACTCCCCCCCAACCCCTGACCCCAGCGAACATGGCCAGAAAGGCTTCGCCAGCCTTTCTCCATGGCAGCCTCAACATGCCCTTCCCCTTTACCCAGGCCAAGGCGGGCAGCCAGGGAGGGTTACCTTTCCACATGGAGAACTGGTTGCTCTGGAGGTAGTCGGTGTGCAGCTGCAACCCCAGCAGGAAGTTGTGGAACTGAGACACGAAGGCCCGGTGGGTGAGGATGCTGCGGAAAGTGTTGGACAGCCACGACCCCGGGATCACCACCGCGGTGTCCAGGACAGTCGCATTACATTTGGGGATTTCAGGCAGGAGTGGCTCATCTTCTGCAGGGGAGAGGGAGGACAGAAGGCAGGTCACAAGAGCTGGGGTCCCCAGACGGCCCAGGCGAAGCCCGCATGGTTACGTGATACCCAGGGTTCAACCACTGGAAGTGAGGCTCACACCTTCCTTGCTGAGATGATAAGGCCCTGGCATTGGGGCCAGGAGGACCCAGGTGAGAGATCAGGGACAGGGTGGTGGAGAAGAGGGGTGATGACAGGTAAGTTGGGGAGGTTCCAGAGAAGACAGGGAATCTACAAGAGCCACTTGTCACTGTACTCATGGATCCCTACCCCGTTAGCTCTCCAGGGCACTGTGCCCCTCTGTTGGGCCCTCCCCCACCCTCACCCCCCAGTCAGGCCAGGGCTGGCCCCTGAAGCTTGTGATGGAGCCTCCCTCTCCCTCCGCTCCAGGCAAGGATGACCTCATCCTAGCTGCTTTCTCATCTCAGAACCATGGACATGACGTTGAAACTGGTGGCCAGGTAGACTGGGCCTCGGTTTGTTATCCACCCCTCGCCCCTACCAAAGAGGGGAAGCCAGTGGGGTCACCCACCGATGTCATTAACTTTCTCCCTCGTCCACCTGTGGAAGAACTCCTCCGAGCTTTGGGATAGATTCCAGGCATCGAGCAAGTTTAGGGAGAAGATACTGCTCCACAAGCCTAGGGAGCAGGACCAGCTGTGAGCGGCTCTGCCCCAGAGCCCCAGCCACCCAAACACTGCCTGCTTCTCCCTTGACTTGATGTTCCCTCCCAGTCAGGCTGCTCAGGGGGTGAGACAGACTTTGGTCTACTCCCCCCCACCCCCCGCCGGCCCCCGGCAAATGCAGGAGGGTCCCATTCTCAAGGGATAACCCAAACCAGCACCCGAACCCAGGACAAGATCCAGGGGGAAAGGAGCGGGCCTTCCCCTGCCCCCTCTCCCACCCCTCCGGGCCAGGAGTCACCTAGCATGTAGCACATCCGCGACTCTGGGAGCCTCTTCATCAGCCGCCCCATGAAGAACTCAGAGCCGAAGAGCTCCGTGGGGATGAAGGCCCCGTACTTCTGCAGGCCCACCTCGTAGGGGGAGAACTCGCACCACTCTGCATGGGGAGCAGAAGGGTGGAGTGTCATTCTCAGGCCTTGACAGCCCCACCCTCCCTCCTCAGGGCTCCTACAGATCAGGGGCATGGAGGGCAGGGGCGGGTTGGGACAGGAAGACTGCAGTTTCCCCCCACAGGGCACAAGGGGGCGCCCAAGACTGGCTACTGCTGGCCAGTCAGACTGCTTTGCCACCTGCATGGCTCGTTTGCTCCACCAAACTGGATAAACCGAGATCACAACTGACCTAGAAGCAGGCAGAGCAGGTTTCTAGAGTCCCTCAGTCTGGGAACCTTGAGAAATATCTAGAACCACCTCCTTTTTTTAACTTTATTACCCCCGTCCCATCAAACCTCTGCTCCTAGAAAAGCCACAAGCCCCCATCAGCCTGATCCATCCACACAGAAGGGGTAGCCAAGTCGAGGTGGAGGGGGGCAAATGTGGTGGTTTGGGCATGTGCTGGGGCCCTGGGTACCTTTGCCTGCTGAGAAGGGACCCCCTTATAAACTAGCCACCAGTGTTACCTCTGAAATCCTGGTTGCTTACATCATCCTTGACATTGATGGTGAGGTAGATAGGCAGGGGGTTCTGGCCCTGGCACAAAGCAGCACGCTGATCTGACAGTTTGGATTCATTTCTCTGTGGGGACATGAAATGGTGAAGGAGCACAGACAGCCTGGAGGTAGTGCAGAGTAAGGGGGATGGTCTGGACCTCCAGCAGGCCATTGCCTGGCCCCTGAGCCCATCCGGCCACTGTGCAGATCCCAGCTGACACCAGTCAAACCTGCTCTTAAAATGTACCCAGAGAATGTTCGCTTGTCCCTGGGCTATTCACCATCCCAGACACGTACACGGGAGTGGGGGAGAATCTACAGTTTAGGGCTGTCCCTCAGAGTCCCAAGATTCTCCTAGTGTCTCAAGGACCAGAGAAGGAAAAAGTAGGGGTGGAAAAAGCCACCACTGTCCCTCTCCATCCCCATCATCTTCCACCCAACATACCCCAACACACCTCCCTTGAAAGGTGCATTTTTCTTCTCTGCTTTGCATGTTGGGCTCCCTCATAAAATTTGTTTGGGAAGGAGGAGAAAAGCTGCTTAAAAAAAAAAAATCTGAACAGGGGCACCTGGGTGGCTCAGTCAGTTAAGCGGTTGCCTTTGGCTTGGGTCATGATCCCAGGGTCCTGGGATCGAGCCCTGCGTCGGGCTCCCCACTCGGTGGAAAGACTGCTTCTCTCTCTCCCACTTCTCTTGCTTGGTTCCCTCTCTTGCTGTGTCTCTCTGTCAAATAAATAAATAAAATCTTTTTTAAAAAAATCTAAACAAAAGGCTTGAAAGCGGTGTACCAGCTGGCAGCCAAGGTCCCTCTGAGTCCCCAGAGCATGGTGCGGCCAAATCAGAGGGGAGTCAGCAGTAGCCAGTCATGGGTGCCCTCTTGTGCCCCGTGGGGGAACTGCGGCCTCCCTGTCTGGGCAGAACAGCCAGGGCCACCGGCCACCTACTTAAACGAATTAACCATTGTAGACAGGCCAGTTGAGGGGTTAGAGGGCCACTCTCTGACCTTAGGCTCTATGCAGCTGTCTGATGGGTGACCATCCAGGGTTATTCAGGTGTGTGAAGGCCCCTGACCTTGTGTGGGATGCTAAACACACACATGGGGCAAACAAGTCTTGGGCCTCCCTTGAAAGGCAAGCAGGGTGCCTTTCACAATGGCCCAGAGATCTGGGCACTGCAAAGCTGAGTCCTGGAAGTAGAGAAAACTATAGACTCAGGGAAGAATGCAGTCTACACTCACGGTCAAAGGAGTCCAAGGGGAAGAGGCTCCTGCCTTGGCCAGAGTGGAACAGTAGAGACCTCCAACTTTCAATTCTACACTTGCCCTCCTGGGAACCTTGCCTCCTCCTCCTACTCCACCCCAGGCAACACTCAGATGTCTGTTGTCAGTAGCCTGGGTGCTTTCCTCCTCATCACATGGGGCACTAAGTATTGTTTGAAATATTAACTACCCCTTATTGATGTAGTTCCCATTTAAGGAATAGCACAGAGCAGGACCCGGATTTAAACCCCAACCTGCCTAAACCCAAAGGCCAATGCCCTCAGTCTCCACCTGTCCTGCTTCCTCATAAGCACAGATTAGATGGCGGTTATCAAGAGGGGGGAGGGGGGTGGGACCCATCAAAAGCTGTGAGTGCCTCAGTTCCGAACCCCCGTTGCCTGGCATAGTTTCTGACATGCGGGAGGTACTTAATTTTTTTGAAAGAAAAACAAAAATGAAGGAATGAATGCACTTCGAAGATGAAGTTCAGGTCATCTATCACTTCAGAGATGACCTTCATCTCTCTACAGACCACCTAGAAAATAATTTGTTATCCTTCCATTTCCTGGCAAGTTGTGTTTGGAATTCAGAACTCCTCAGAACCTTTTGGGAGTGGGCCCGAGAACTGCAGGTCTGGAGAGAAATTAGGTGGGAAGCTCTGCTTTGGGGACAAGCGACAGCCACAGCTGGTCCCTCCCCAGGGCCTGTGCAGCTGGAAGGGTCTGGGTGTTCGCTAAGCCATTGAGGGTGTTCCCCTCAATGCCACTGCTCCACCACCTTGCACAGAGTGCCCCAGCAGCTGAGAGCCCCCAACACAGACTGTTTCTCTTCTTGGGCACACGGTGCTCGGATTATTGGATCTCAGAGCAGGGAGGAACTTCTGGGCCCAACCTCTGTAAGGCGGCCATGAGAAGGGGCCCTACAGATCTTCAGCTACAAGGAGTATAATCAACTAAGGGCCTCCCAGTTTGCGCTGAGTTTGTGCTGGGGTCACAAGGCTTGGGCTGCTCCCAGCACGTGTCTGAGAGCAGGAGGGATCCTGAGGCATGCCCATTCATGTCCATGGAGGGCACCAAACTCCTCCAGCCGACAGCTTGTCTAGAGGCCTATCCAACGGCCTTACTGAACCTTCTAGACCAGCAGTCCTGGATGCTTCCACCCAGCCGTTCTTCCCTCTCTCTTCCACTTGGGGTCAGACTTGTATCAGTCTGATGTCTGTCCAGCCTCCTCCAACTCCCTCCCCATGTTCTCTTGTGGTAACTTGGCATGGCCCAGAGGATATGGAGCCAATCTGTAGGACTGTTCCTAAGCCATCCCCACCCCAAGGGTCTCAGTCATACACTAAAGGGATGTGGCAAGCCAATTCCACAATCTTCCTCCATCATGCGCTTGGGAACCTCATGCTTCTTATGACCCACAGTTGAATCTGCAGGTCTAAGCTAACTTCCTTCTGCTGAGAAGTAAGTCCAGGACCCCCTGAAGAAGAAAGAGAGCTGGTCATCAGCCAGGGCAGGCTGGACCTCAGAAGAAGCTAAGCACCTACCTCATCCCCCAGACAGGCCTCGATCAGCAGGCCCCAGAAATCTGTAAAGGTGACCTTGTAGCCTTCCTGACTACGCAGCCGAAGCTCTTCCTGGAATTTGGCCAGCTGGTCTGGGAACAGGGCAGGCATCTTGTCCTTGACCACATGCCTCCGTGCCTCCAATATGGCAGGCTCCAGGTTTTTGGAGGACCAGTCAGGATCACGGTATAAGGTAGCCATGGTCCTGGAGAGAGACATACACATGGGGATAGAACTGAGCCAGTCCTGGTCCAATCAACACTGGGCCCTGGCCAGAGAGAAGGTGGACAGATCGTGGGAGACCCTATCTCATCAGGAGAGGAGCTTGGAGGGAAGGGGTGGACATTTTTAATCATAGTCACAATGGCTACCGTGGGCCAGGTAAAGCATGTTGCTTGAGAGTGAGGCTGTTGGGGGCGCCTGGGTAGCTCAGTCGCTTAAGCATCTGCCATCAGTTCGGGTCATGATCCTAGGGTCCTGGGATGGAGCCTGCATCGGGCTCCCTGCTTAGTGGGCAGTCCGATTCCCCTTCTCCCCCCTTCCCTCCCTCTGCTCGTGTTCGCTCTCTCTTTCAAATAAAGAAAAAAAAATCTTAAAAAAAAAAAAAAAGAGCAAGGATTCTGGACCAAGATCTTCCTGGGTTCAAAACCACACTCTGCCACTCACTAGCTGTATAATCCTGGGCAAGTTATCTAACTGCTCGTCCATCAGTTTCCCCATCTGTGGAATGGAGAGAATTAGCACTGCACCTACCTCAAAGAGTTATTGTGAAGGTTGCATGAGTTAATGCAATTTAAAGTGGCCAGGACAAAGTGTGTGCTGGGTCATGGAGTGGTGAGGCGAACATTGGAACCCAGGTTTGGCTGATTCCAAATCCTGGACTCTTTCCACTTCACTGCATTCATTCCCATAATTACAATGCTGGCTAAAGATTTATTTCCCCTGCTTCTTCTGAACTTATACATGGGCAGTGGGAAGGAGTAAAACAAAAACAGTGACCCCTGTAGCCCTGGGTCTCTTCTTGGCCTGGAGCTAGCTTTTCTGCTGACGTCAGGATAGCACCTTGGAACCCCCGTGCCCTGGGTGACCTTGTCTGCAGTGTCACTGTGTCTGAACAGTGGCGTCTTCCTTCACAGGGCTTGTTTCTGGTCCGGGAAGGTAGGGATTGGTCAAGAGATTTCATGGACAAAAAGCACCCCGCTCTCTGTAAGATTCACTCTTACTTTTACATGTTTAAAGGCTTTCAAAACCATCACAAATGATTGATTTTAAAAGGGTACTTCCCAGTGCTTTCTTAGGCCAGGAGATGCTTCCCTCTTCCCCTACAGCACCCCCTCCCCTCCCACCAAGTTCCTCCCAATCTCCTGCTTGTCAGGCAGGGCCAGAAGGATGCAAATGCCCCTCAACCCTGATGGAAGCTGCTTTTATCTCCTTATTGTACTACCCACGGGCCATGCCAACAAACGTCAGCTGTCCTTCTGTCCCACCTGGGCTGAAGTCTCGGAGTTCCTGACACGCTAGCAGCCCTTGGCCTTCCTAGGGCAAATTCACATCTACTGCTCAAATGTAAGTTCCTAGAGCTCTTCCACGGTGAGGGGCCACCTTGGGACCTTAACGGCTCAGAGGTCCACCAGTCCCTGACAGAAGATGCAGCCATTTTGTTCAAGGGTCCCCTGCCAGGACTGTGCTATGACCTCATGTGGGCCCCTTCCACCATAAAAATATGAAACATGTTCTATGATTGTTGTATAAAAATAAATATAATAATGTTATATTTGTTCTTGGGCAAGAAGTTCCTTTTTTTTTTTTTCCTGATCTTAAAAGAAGGTAAGACATTTTTCTGGGCTTCTACAAGCACTGTGGGTCCTAGGCATATGGCTACTGGCCTCATGTTCGGGGGACTCGCTCTCCTTGCTTACCAGCAGAGAGTGAAGAAGGCACCAGGACAGAGGGAGGGGCAAGGATGGGGGTGGTGGGCTGGGGTCAGGGCAGCTAGAGCAGCTGGGTCAGCTCCACACAACCTAGGAGAGCTGGCAAGTTCGGAGAAGGCAGCTGTTTCTTCCCGATAGGATGGGTCGGTGGCAGGAGTGGGTCACAACTCCTAACCATGTTCCTAGATCCCTGCCACAGCCCCAAGGCACCCAGGACTGGGAGAGTCTCGCTCAATGACCCCATGGAGTCAGTACTAGTTATACCCATTTTACAGATTCAGAAACTGAGACTCCAAGAAGTGAAGCCACTGCCCAACATCACACAGCTGTAAGGGGTAGAGCCACCCAGTTTTGTGAGTCACACTACCTTGGGGCAGGGAAAGCTTCACCAGAGACCCTGGCCAGCCTCTTTAGTGCTTGCTCTGGGCTCCACTGGGCAGTGGCAGCCAGCTCCTTACCAGGTGGCCCCGGACAGGCCAGTGATGTAGCTGGCACAGTTCAGGATGTTCAGCTTCTGCAGCCCCAGCAGGTGGCCATACATGGCGGTCATGGATCTTGTTCCACCCCCAGTGGCCATGATGGCGATCAGCGGTACCTGGGAGCGTACAGAGGCAGACTGTTGGGGCTGTGCGGGGTGGGATAAGACACGGACTGACCCACGGAAGCTTAGAAAGAATGGTGGAGGCGGGAGGACTGGCTACAGACAACAGAGCACAAGGCAATAAGTGACCTGAAAACAGCCTTTCACAGAGTGATGGGCCACCTGGGAGGGCTAGAATTAGATCTTCCTTCCAAACCCAGTAGCTGGTGAGCATAAATGGTGCTGGGGCATCACACAGCTTGGTCAATCAGCACGTGGTGGCTGGAAGAGTTCTTTGCACAGTTAGTCTAGCCCTCAGTTACCAGGTGATGACACCAGGATCCAGAGAGCTGAGGGACTCGCTCGAGGACCCAGCTAGTGGGCAATTCCCTAACGGCTCCTCCTATGCAAGGATGTGCTATCGGGGCACCTGGCCCAGACATGGCCCGTGACAGGCGCTCAGTATACACTATGTACAACAGCCGGAATCACTGAATTCTTGATGTGGGAAGGAGCAGGGTTGTCACCTCTGGATTCGCAAAGGTTGAAGATGGTCTTGGGGTTTTCCTCTAAAGAGGGGAGAGTGGGGAAGGGGATCCTTGCCAAGATGTACCCTATTTGAGCAGGGATGGTAAGATCCTTCTGTCCACTAAAGCCCCATCGCAACCGTCCTCGGGCACAAGGTCTCCATCCTCTTGCACTTGGAGAGTGACCTGCTGCCTGGTGTGGGGAGGGCGGGGTGTGGACCTCAGTCCATACCTGGGAGATGACAAAGGGCTCTAACAAAGGCACACTCTCTGCCCTGTGGGAAGAAGTCTGCCCTACAGGGGAAGGGGCTTCTCTGTAGTGTGCCACTGACCGTTGTTTTTTCTGGGGGAGTTTTGTATATGCGTCTATTTGGGGGTAAGAGAGAATTGAGGAACAAAGAGCCCAGGGCCTTTTGAGTGGAGGTAGTAGGGCTTCAGCTGTTTTCCCGGCTTGGGGGGAGGAGGCCACTGTGTCCTGTGTAAGTAAGACCTCATAAGTCCCCTTGGGATCTATTAGTGCCTGGGGAGGAGCAGCCATGGGGAGGGACACTCCTTCCTTTCTCTCTCAGCTTTGCCTTCCCAGCCCCTCCCCCTGCAAACACACAACTGAATCACATTAGGCACAGCCCTCCGCTGGGGACCCAGGAAAGGCAGTGGTGGAAAGGCAGTGGCGAAGCCACCCTGGAGCAGAGAAGGGCTTGGGGGAAGGTGGCAGGGTGAGGTGTGGGCAGGACAAGCTCAGCTTAGAGGGGCATGAAGCCCCGGCTGGCAGGCCCCTGCTTACCCACCTCGTCCGCAGACAGGTCCTCCTCCAGCTGCAAAACCTGTTGCAGCGCCTCGGCCACCACGACTCTCCGCTTCTCCAGGAACTCCTGCTCCTCGGGGCACAGGCTGAAGCCCAGCCGCACGTCCAGCGTCTGAGGGCTATGGGGACAGAGGATCCTGAGAAGCGGGCTTGCAGACTTCACCACCACAAAGACATGGCTTTAAGGGTCAGTGGGTCATAGGCTTGAAGCCGGGTTCTGCCATATACCTTTCCTGTGACTTAGAGTCTCTCCTCTCTCATCTGTAAAATGGGGCTAATCGTGTTTACCTCTCAGCACTGTCTTCCGCACTTAAGGAGATTGACAAACAGAAAGCCACTGAACCCTTATCTGACACACTTTAGGCAGGTCCTCTGCAAAACGGGGGGCTCATCCAACCCTGTGCATCCTCAGCCTGATCTGGAAAGCCCAGGAAGTCTTCCCCTAGGTATCTTCCATGACCTGAGGCTACACATGGGTAACAGGGAGCCCTGGGATTCTTTTGGCCAGTCCCTCAGGACCAGGCTCTACAGTAAGGGCTCTCCTGTGAGATTCATGTTCTTTGGTAAGTTCTCTCTGCTCCTGGAGTAAATAATCCTTCTGTGTGTTTGTGCAACTGATGAAAACCCTCGTATTCCTGATGTCACCCTCTCATCCCTATAGGTCCGCAAGGCAGGTGGAGCAGGAGTTGCCGAAGCATGTCCAACACTTGCCTTCTTTTGACCACCTCCCTTCCTTGGACATGTCCAGGCTCCTGGCCTGGCAGCCAAAAACCTAGCTGCTCTGTGCACCCTCGCTGTTTGCTACTTTTTAGAAGGGGCCGCAGGCTTTCAGATCCCAGAAGCAGTCCGGGTTCTGAGACTTTGTGTAGCCCTTGGCTTCACCAGAACCTTCCTCCTTCTGCCTATGTCCGTCCCTGGTGTCCTTCCAGGCTCAGTTCCCCCAGGACTCTGGGTGACTGACCATGGACAATTTCGGAACTGAATCTTACTCAGTTGCCCGAGTCACCAACCAGATCACATGTCCTTGAAAGCAGAGCCTGGGAGCCCTGCCATGGTGTTTCCTCCATGTTGTGCGTAGGCCTACAGACACAACTGTGAGGAAATACTTCTTTCCTTGGCCTCAATGAAAAATAAATAACAAAACAACAGTAATAACAACACTAGTTGATAGTTGCTGAGTGTCCCTCTCGTCAGATCACTGATTTTTGGCAAGGGTGCCAAGACAATTCAGAGGGGAAAGAATAGTCTTTTCCACGAATGGTGTTGGGACAACTGGAGATTCACACGCAAAAGAACGAAGCTGTATCCCTATTTCATGCTGTATATACAAATTAACTCAAAATCTGTCATAGACCTAAATGTGAGAGCTAAAGCCATAAGAACTCTTAGAAGAAAGCAGGGGATCCTCATGACCTTGGATGAGGCAATAATTTCTGAAATATAATGCCAAAAGCACAGGTGACAAAAGAAAAAATACGAATGCGCTAGACATCACCAAAGTTCAAAATGCATTTGCGTCCAAGGACATTGTCAAGAATGTATAAAGACAACTTCCAGAATAGGAGAAAATATTTGCAGATCATATCTCTGACAAGGGAGATATACATTTATACAGAATATAAAAAGAACTCTTACAACTTAACAAGAGACAAGTAACCCACTTTAAGAATGGACAAAGGAGGGGTGCCTGGGTGGCTCAGTCGTTTAAAGCCTCTGCCTTCAGCTCAGGTCATGATCCCAGGATCCTGGGATCGAGCCCCACAGCAGGCTCCCTGCTGAGCAGAGAGCCTGATGTGGGGCCCCTCTCTCTGCCTGCTTCTCTGCCTACTTGTGATCTCTGTCTGTCAAATAAATAAATAAAATCTTTAAAAAAAAAAAAAAAAAAAAAAGAATGGACAAAGGATCTGAATAGACATTTCTCCCAAAAGATAAAAACATGGCCAATAAGCCCATGAAAAGATGCTCAGCCTGGTCAGCCATCAGGACAATGCAAGTCAAAACCTCATTTCCCTCCCTCGGTTCTAGTAAATCAGAGGGACAGACAGAAGGAGGGTGCTTTACCAGGGTGTAGACTTCATGTGTAATTCACAGTCCTCGCCCTGGGAAGAGAAAGAGGAACAACTTTTCAGGGATGACGATTTAGAGCCAAGGGGTACCAAGCAAAGGAGGGGCGTCTCACCACATGGTACCCCCTGATCTGACTCAGCACACACATGTGCACACACACACATGCTACCCTCATTCCTTCTATGACCCTCAGCTCAGCCTCTACACACTCTCTTTGGCCCCAGAGCACAGCCCGCAGTCTCCTACCCCAGCAGACTCCTCTGCCCCATCTGAGAGAACCCCCTCCCATGTCACCGCCCCCCAAGCCCTTCCCATTCTCCTCCCACAGCAGCTTCGGGCTGTGCTGCTCAGGGTCCCCTTACCACAGGTAGGGTCACCGTCTGGCCATCAGAGAGGCAGTCAAGGGGCTGGTGGACAGGGCTGTTCTTGCTGTGCGCACAGCAGCAGCAAAGCTGGAAGGATGGGCAGGCTCGGTGAGGGGTGAGGGGCTCCTCTGGCAGGTCCGGCTGCCCCAGTCCCCCCTGCCCCCCACCCCCCACATCGTTGTTGTGTACCCCATAGCTCCACTGGCTTGTGGGCACGTCCACATGCATGCAGGGCTGGAAATACTTGGGGTAGTGGAAGCAGGCCAGGTTTGGGCAGCAGGGCTCCTGGCGGCATGGGACACGTTGGGTGTGCTCGAAGGACTCCTTCACTGTCACCAGGAGGTCCTTCACTGGAAGAGAGGACAAGAGGCCTGAGCCCCTAGAAGCCTCTCACTCCTCCACCCCAGCTTGCACCAAGAGAAAGCCAAGCTGGGAGAACCTGGGGCAGTTATTCAGAAGCATCTAGGGCACAGGTTAAAAGGCCTCCGAGTCTCATTCTGTAGGGCTGGGCAGGGCCCTAGAATCTGTATTTAGTGCGGCTGTGTATAATGAGGACAAAGAAGGTCCCCAGCAGGCCTCGAGATGCTGAGTCCCCTGGACTGGTCCTCCCAGATTCTGCTTCTCCAGGAGGTGCCCTGCATCGAAGACGGGCCCTCTCCATACCACCAGTTTGGGGGTGCAGCTTCTTCCTCCTTCCCTCTCCCATGTCCAGGCAGCTACGCTGCTCTCCTCTCTTGGGACAGGGCTGGAAGCTTTGCATGACTGAGATGGGATGGAATGGTAAGCAGAAGCAACTTGTCACTGTGGATCTCTTAGGTCCCTGCCAGCCATGAAATGCTTGGACCCTCTGTGAGGAAGGGGCACAGCTAGAAGGGGGCGTGGGGGTTGTCAGTGCCCACCTGACCCGTGTGGGCAGAGAGGGCCGTGCTGTGCCGCTGACCCGAGCCCAGGGTGCTGAGGGTCCCATGGGTGCCTGGAAGAGCATGCTCCCTATAGAGCGGTGGGGAGGCCAGGGGTTCATGACCCCTGAGGGGGAGGTGACCCCAAGAAGCCATGGCCAAGCTCAGTCAGGATGATGGACAGGATAGCTGTGGGAAGAAACGCTGTCCACCACCCCCAGAGGAAGTCAAAAGACTCACTTTTCCTCCTCTTCTTCTGCCTCCTGCACTCTGCGTAAACTTCCAGGCGGGAGACTTGCCGAGACTGAAACAAAGGAAGTGGGGTCCGTCTGAGCGCTGGCTGCCCCCTCCCTCTGTCAGGCCAAATGGAGATGAACTAGGGGATAAATACAGCGCTGGTCTGAATTGGGGCTGCTCCCGGGAACCATGGTGTGCCGACCACATTTTCTGAACCCAATCAAAGCTTGTCATCTCATTAAGAGATGCAGTATTTGAAAATGAAGCTGTCCTGGGGTGGGTGGCTCAGTGGGTTAAGCCTCTGCCTTCGGCTTAGTTCATGATCCCAGGGTCCTGGAATCAAACCCTGCATCGGGCTCTCTGCTCAGTGGGGAGCCTGCTTCCTCCTTTCTCTCTCTGCCTGCCTCTCTGCTACTTGTGATCTCTCTCTCTCTCTCTGTCAAATAAATAACAAAAGAAAAAAAGGAAAAAAAATCTTTAAAAAAAATCTTAAAAAAAAAAAGAAAAGAAAAGAAAATGAAGCTGTCCTCAAAAATCTAGGCTATATGGTTTCTATATACCAGGAGTCATGTTCTCAGCTACAGGTCAGGGATGGAAGCTGCGGGACTGGTCCAAAATCAAAAGAGGCAACATTCCTCTTTTGGGGCTTTGGAATGAGAACTCGCAACAGAATAGTCTTCTAAAAGTCAGATTCTTTTACCACAGCCTCCCAAAGACTGATTTCGGGGGTGGGGGGAGATCTCCTCGAATCCTGAGGCTTGAGATGCATTTATTTAGCTGAAATGTCTGTACCAGAGCTGAATTATGACAATCTTAAAACACCGAGTTTGTACTTGTAGAGGAATTGGAGCTGGGGTGGGGGGTGGGGGGATGGGATGGAGGCTGAATCTGGGAGGAGGCTGCTTCCATGGAGATGCTTTTACTGGGGAGGTTCCCAAGCGGAGGGGGTCATTCTGTGGGATATGGGATGGATGTTCCAGCCCCTGCCTCCAGAGAAGCAGGGGCCCGGCCCCCACCCCACCCGCCCAAGTCCCCGTTGGCCTGCTTTAGTTAGTCTGACTCCTGGAAGGCTCCGGGACAATGGCTTGGGTGGGCTGTGTTCTCTCCCATGGTTCTGTTCCCCTGGGAGCAGCAGCCATGTGTGGCCTCTGGAGCTACAGGAACCTGAAGGACAAATTACCACCAGCACGCCGTTGGTGATGAGGATCTCGGGTGGAGAGGGACTGGAAAACAAAATGAGAACTCCTGGTCAGTTATATCATTCTTGCCTGATTTCTCAAGAGGCGTTAAAGAACCTAAATAGGGTCAATAATGAGATAGCAGAGTCTCCTTGATCCTTATCAAAAGTCACGGCTCAAGAAATCTTAGATCACAGAGTGCCTGAGTGGCTCAGTTGGTTAAGCATCTATCTGCCTTTGGCTCAGGTCATGATCTCGGGGTCATGGGACTGAGCCCTGCATGAAGGCTTCCTGCTCAGTGGGGTGTCTGCTTCTCCCTCTCCCTCTGCCCCATCCCACTGCTTGCTTATCCTTTCTCTCTCAAGTGAATAAATACAGTATTAAAAAAAAATAAAGCAACCTTATATCTGTGGATTGTCAAGGCGAAAAGTGGCATACATTTTAAATAGAATATGAAAAAAAATGTATAGGTTGGAAGAAGAGTTCCTTTTAAAAAATTTTTTTATTCCTTTTTTATAAGATTTTATCTATTTGACAGAGAGAGAGAGTACAAGCAGGGGGAGTGGCAGGGAGAGAGAGAAGAATGTTCCTGCTGAGCAGAGAGCCTGATGTGGGGCTCAAACCTAGGACCCTGGGTTAATGACCTGAGCTGAAGGCGCTTAACCGACTGAGCCACCCAGGAGCCTCCTGCCTTTCTTTTCTTTTCTTTTTTTTTTTTTTTTTAAAGAGATAACTATCCTAGGGGCGCCTGGGTGGCTCAGTGCGTTAAGCCTCTGCCTTTAGCTCCGGTCATGGTCCCAGGATTGAGCCCCGAATCAGGTTCTCTGCTCAGTGGGGAGCCTGCTTCCCGCCCCCTCCTCTGCCTGCCTCTCTGCCTACTTGTGATCTCTGTCTGTAAAATGAATAAATAAAAACATTTTTTTTTTAAAGAGAGAGATAACTATTCTTTATGCCCAGCCAGATACCCAACTGTGCTTTCTGCACAACTTTAAGGAGCTATGAAGATAAAGAGGTAGCCAGAAAAGGCCTAACCTGCCACCTGCAGCTGGTGGAAAGATTTCTGGTGGCAGAAACGACCCATTCTCCTTTCTGTGCTGTATTTAATTCATGCTTTTAACAAACAGTTCTGATCCAGCCAGAGAGGGGCCTGGTGTATACGAAATGCCTTCATATTATAAAGTCAAGAATGTAAGTCTTCAAGGTTACAACTAGCCTATGGGAGTCTACAGTCTCCCTTTGCCAAAATCAGGCCCAGGATGATTGCGTCTCCAGATCAACTCTTCCTACCAATTTTGACGTGTTTCATTTTGCGAGCTACAAGGAATTTGCCCCCAAGTCTTGTTGAATCAAGGATTGGAGGAGAGAGTCCTGATGTTCTTCAATGGGATACAAAGTAGATTTTAATTTGTTAATCAGCGGTTGATAAGAAATGAAGCAGCCCAAGGAGTTCTACGTGCTCCTAGGTAGAGGACTCTGGGAATGGAGTTCGACAAATTTCTTGTTCTAGATTCTGCCTCCCACCCTCCCCCTTTTCCTGGGGCTGATCCTGAGTCCAGGGGCTCAGCCCTATGGGGACCACAGAGAGGAGTCAGCTGCCTAGTCACAAGACACACTAGTATCCTGGGCAGGCTTCTCCCCTCTCGCCCCTTCTCTCTTTGTCCTCTTCTCTTTCCTATCTTTCAGCTCTGGGGCCCAGTTCTACTCCAGTGCCCAGCATAGTGAAATCTCCAGGACCTCAGGTCATTTTCCTAGTTGAAACTGACAGGAAATAATCCCACATGTTGGGCCTGAGCATCTCCTTGATGTGGCTCTAGAGCTGGCTGCAGAGGGGACAGGCTGTTTCAGACCAGGGTTTGGGGGAGGTTTTGTTTTTGGTTGTTGTTGTTTTTTTTTTTTTTTTTTTTAGATTTTATTTATTTGAGAGAGAGAGCGAGAGAGAAAGGATTGAGAGAGCACATGAACAGCGGGGAGGGGCTGAAGGAGAGGGAGAAACAGACTCCCTGCTGAGCTCATGGGGCTCCATCCCAGGACCCTGAGATCATGACCTGAGTCAAAGCAGACAGACACATAACCAACTGAGCCACCCAACCAACTGAGCCACCCAGACAACCCCGGGGCAGTTTGTTTTAACAGTTCAGGGTCAAGGAGGAAACCCCCTGGTCTTGACCTCTTTCTCAGCCTGGCCTCTCCAAGGCCCCATCACCATGGGGCAGAAATTCTTCCCAAAGGTCACTCTCAGGAATGCAAGGGGCTGAAGCAGGCAATTTGGCCAGAGTTCTAGATCTCGGAAGCAAAACTGATGTTAGTGGAACAGGGTGAGCGGGGTTGGGGCCCAGTTACCTGCAATATTTAGAAGCTCGCAAATGACTCTGAGGCACAGTGTGGGGTGCCAGAGGTGAGAGTGGGAGAGGGAGGTTAGCCAAAGAGCAGACCAGGCTCTGAAATGCCTGCTCAGAGCCACTGAGGGGTTAGGACCATGGTGGGTTAGGATGGGGCCTACTCACCTCTCCTCCAGCAGGAACTCGACCTCCAGCTCTTCCATGCCCTGGCAGGGGAATAAAGGGAAGGCAGCTGTGACTGGGGCTGCCCCTGTCTGTCCCCAGACATGTCCCTTTAGCTTCTACCCCCAGCTTGCCATTAGTCTCCTGCCTTCCCAAGGGGCTCAGCACCTGGGGCAAGGGAGAGCTGAGACTCAACCACCAAAGGACAGAGTCCTCTTCCCTCATCTGTTCCTTCACACCTCTTGTTGTGTAACTTCAGGAAGTTGTGGCTTCATGGACCTTAATTTCCGTGCCAGAATGGAAGACAGGCAAAAGCAGAGAGACTCATCCTCTGCTGTATCCTCAGGGCCCGGAACAGTGTCCGGACCATAGTAGGAAGTCAAGGATTTGTTGAATGATTGAATTGATTAACATCTTGGTCTTGTCCAGCTTTGACTCTCTCTGATTTGCAGATTTACCCTTCTTTACCCTCATCTGCCCTCCGTCCCCTGGGCTATCTCAGCAGAAGGACTCTGAGGGGAGAAAAGGGAACCAACACTTACTCCATCTCCATTTTGTACCATGAACAGTGCTAGGGACCTTAATTAGGTTTTTCCTTTTCAGGGTCACAACAACCCTGCGAGGTATGCATCACCATTGCCATTGGACAGACGAGGAAACAGAGAGCAGAGGAATTAAATCCATCCTGCCAGGACACACAGCTAGTAAGCCTAGCACTGGGACTGAGCCAGCAGTACTGTCGTTTTCTGACTTGGTGACACAGAGAGAAGCCCGAAGAGCAGCACCAGACATAAGCAGCTGCTCCTCATGAGGCAGGAGGCTGAGGGCCTGGACACCGGCACCCACCTCTGGGTTGAGTGGGAACTTCACGTGGGTTTTCTTTCGGAAGCAGAGTTTGGTGAGGTCGTAGAGGATTGTCAAGAGATGGTCGTCTGGTGTCAGTGTGTCTTCATCACAGACGCTCAGCTCTAGCACGTTCTAGGGGAGAAAGGAGGGTGCAAGTCTGGTTACTGTGTTTGCATGGACCCATTTTCCTAGCAAGGAGATGGGTCTCAGGGATGTGGAACAGCACAGAGGTCTCGGCTCAAGAATGACAGATTTGTAGAATGATGAACTTGGCGGGGGGCGGAGGGGATTGTGTCTAAACTCTCTAACTTTCTGAAGACTTCCCGACCCTCAGCTCTGATTGTTTTGGAGACCTGTGCTCTTTTGCAAGGTTGGCAAGGACCTGTGAAGTGTGGGGGATATCATTTCACCTGGGGGAATGATGGAAGGGCAGAAAAGCAGGACCCTTGCCAAGTCATAGACTGTGGTCAGCACTGGGGCCCCAGAGCTGAAGACAGCCCATTACATGCTAGAAAAACCAATTCAGGGAAGTTAACACCTTAATGCTCCAGGGGGATGATGTGGCAGATTACAGGGATTCTCATACTTGGTTGGCTTAGGGTGAGGTGTTTGAACTCTATCCCTCCGTCCATCAGCCCATAAAGAGGTCTCATGGGTGGTCCCAAAGTTGAGCACCTACCCTGACATCTGGCTGAATGATAAGGTCAGCAGTTTTGGGTGACTTGGATTAGCTTTGAGTTCTCTTGTTTCAAGGAACCTGGGAGATGCAGGTTAGGGCTGGTTTGACTCTGGTCTTTATCAGGTGGACATAAGGTGGTCTGGGGGTTCCTTGCTGAATGAGACCTGTTGACCTTGTAATTACTACAAAAACAGACATGTCCCAGAACCAATCCCATTGATTCATATGAGCAGCCCCACAGATCTTTAGACAAAGGAAGTCAAAATTCTGGTTTCAAGATGGCAGACTGAGCCCATGCCAAAATCCCCCTACCTCACCAAAATCACAAATACGATATAAGAGATATTTTTATAGTAACAAATATAATAAATATACTTTAATAAACAACAAATATAATAACAACAATAATAAATAATAAACAACAAATATAATAATAAATAAATAAAATATAATATATAATATATATTATATATATAATATATATATAATAATATAATAATATAATATATAATATAATAAATAAAAATAATAAAAATAAAATAAAAATAATAATAAATAAATAAAATAAATAAAATAAATAATAAATAAAAAATAATAATAAATAAATAATAAAATAAAAATAAAAATAAAAATAATAAAAATAAAATAATAAATAACAAATATAATAAATAACAAATATACTTTTTAAAAAAGTTTTAATTATTTATCTTTAGAGAGAGAGAGAGAGAGCACAGGGGACAGCAGGAGGAGAGGGAGAGAGAGTCCCAAGCAGACCCTGTGCTGAGCGTGGAGCCTGACATGGGTCTATGACCCAGAGATCATGACCCACGTTGTTATCAAGAGTCAGACACTTAACCAACTGTGCCACCAGGCACCCCCAAAGCCCTTCTTGAAAGGAAAAAAAGGACTTATTATGAACCAGAAATAAAACATCACCCTAAAACATGGAAGCAGTAAGCTGGAGATATCAAGCCTCAAGTGCCCTAAGACTAGTGTTGATACCCCTATGATGAGGACCAAGTTTGTTTTAGGAGCATTCTGCTGAGGGAGGACCTGGATGGCTCAGTCAGTTAAGTGTCTGACTCTTGATCTTGGCCCAGCTTGATCTCATGGTCATGACTTTCAGCCCCATGTTAGGCCAAAACTACAACAACAAAAAAAACCATACTGAGTTGGTCCACAGCTCAGTAAGCTCAAAGGAGAATTCTCCAGTACGAGAACTGCCATATATCTGAGAAAGGCCAACACCATGAAACAGTAGCCCAACAAATGAAAGAATAGACATTCAAAGAATTAGAAATAATAAAGCCTTCTAAAAAGGAGTTAAGATAGGGAAAGCCCTCTGGCTAGAATTAGACTGGCCTCAGACCTAGTGAATAAAATGGCCTTCCCCCTCCCTGTATTCTCCTACTTGGAGCATGTTTGGCAAGCACACTGGGTTTTGCAGCAGGAACCACAAATTCTAGCAACAATTAGGTAGAAGGACAAGAGAGAAAGGAAAGAAGGTAGAAGGATAAGTAGACTCAGAGGGACAAACATGAGGCAGGCCTCATGAAGGAGTGGTGAGTGGGAAGATGGGTCACTGGGAGGAGAAGAAGTAGGTGGGAAGAAAGACAAATAGACATAAGAGGGACACATAAGCAAACAGAAGGACAAGCAGTCATGGAAGGCAATAGAAATGTAGGCAAGGCTGACAGACACAAGGCATCCTCTGAGTCTCACCTTCACTTGGCTCTGGATCTGGAAGCTGAAGGTTTCATTCCACTCTGGGTTTGGGCAGTTGGAGATGGTCCTAGTCCTCAGCCTCTCACGAGAAGCAGTGGGCAGCCAGAGGCTCACAAAGCAGTCTGTCTGGCTCACTGTCCAAGGAAGACAAGGGTTGGAGGGAAGGGTGGGGAAACAACCCAGGTCCAGAGAGGAGAATATAGAGTCAGAAGGAAACTTCAGGCAAGTTACTTCCAGCACAAACCCTCGTCTTCCCTCCTCACTCATGGGTCTGACTCTTCAGAGACTTTTGTCCTAGAACCCCCAAGAAGTTCACAGCCTATAGGCCAGAAAATTCACAGAGGGGGATTCAGGTCCCACTGATCACTCTCATGGACAAAGATGGCTTCTGGCTCTTTTTTCTTTTTTTTTTTTAAGATTTTATATATTTATTTGACACAGCAAGATCACAAGTAGGCAGAGAGGCAGGCAGAGAGAGAGAGAGAGAGAAGGAAGGAGGCTCCCTGCTGAGCAGAGAGCCCAATGCGGGGCTCAATCCCAGGACCCAGAGATCATGACCTGAGCTGAAGTCAGAGGCTTAACCCACTGAGCTATCCAGGTGCCCTGGTTTCTGGTTCTTTTCAGAAGCATCCCAGCTCTCTGAGTAAACACCTGCTAGGTTAGGACAAGGTCTGCCTATAGAATTTCTCCTCTGCCAATGGAAGATCTAGAGGATGAGCCCCACAGAGTCCAGTTTAACTCTTGCCTTAGCCCAAGGTACCAGGGAAACCAAAGCAGGGCTCTGCTCTTCCTCAGGGCTGCTGAGAAGCAGGGGGTCAGAGTCTGCTGTGCATCTGCTCAGAGGGCCAGAATGGGGAAGGGCTTGGGTGGAATAAGAGTTTAAGAGAAACTAGAAGCAGGGGCCACCATTTACATAAGACTAATGTCTCAACTGCATCTAGCCAGGTTCTTCATACCTATACTAGTCTCCCAACACGAGGCATGTGACCCAAGAAACCCTCACATCTGAGGCCATGTACTTTTTTTTTTTTTTTCCTTCTCATTTGAAATGAATGACTCAAGGGTGATGTTGCTAGATGTGCTCTGGGGAAGGGGCAAAGGTTTTGTTCTTAAAAGTCCCTCCCAAAGTAGATGAAGGCCTCTCAGGTCCTCTGGCTGGAGCAGCAGAAGGCATGGGGTGAAAAAAAAAAATAACAGGTAGCCTGGCTCCCTCCATTCTACCTGGGAGGAGGGAGGAAGATTGCCCTAGTGATTGCCCTAGTCCCTCTCCTGGCAATGTGCTGGGGTAAGTCCCAGGGTACACACCAGATATGTAGAAAATGGTAAAAGTCAACATAGTCTCCGGTGTCAGAGAATCCTCTCGATGGTGGAGATGGTGTGAAGATATGAGTTTTGTTCTAGTAGGATTGACCAAAACTAGTTCATAGTTATTAGTAGTAATGTCCTATGAGAGTAAAACCCAAGATGTCCCCCTGGACTGGCTAGATTTACTTTGTCACCCCACTGAGAACATTATCAGAGTTAAGAACCACACTTTGCATCATAAGCATCCCTAGCTTCTGATTTCATCTCCAATATCTGATTAATCTTTGAGGGCTTTACATTCAGTGAACTGGAAAACATGCCTCCTCCCAGTTGATAAAGGTAGGATGACACTGCATTTTAGAGTTCATAATTGCTTAATCCAGACACAAAGAATGACCAAACCCAGAGGAATCTAAAGAAAATGATAACCTCATCATCTCTACCCATCCCCTCCATGCCCAACCTGCCCCTCCTCGCCATCAATTCAGGTGGCCAGGCCAGACCTCAAGTGCCATCCTTGGCTCTTACGTGACATCACTTTAACTCTGTTGACCTCTCCAGCCCACCCACACCTCACTTGCGCGACCACTGCCTTAATGCTGGCTACCGTCGCCTCTGTGACCGCTTCCCAACTGGGCGTCCTGGCTCCTGTCTTGCCCTATTCTCATATTTTCTCTCAGAAGAAACCAGAAGGATCTTTTTAGAGCTGACTGTGTTATTCCCAGTTTAAAATCTTTCAGTGGCTCCCATCTGCCCTCAGGAGGGAGTCCCCACCACTCAACATGGATACCTCTCCCACTTCCCCAGCCTCAGCCCTCCTCCTTCTATTCTCCCTACCACCCAGCCCCTGCTCTGCCACCAAACACACACGTAGGCGCACGCACGCACACACACACAGCGCTTGCACTCACTCCCTAGACTCCAGACAAACCCAGTCACTTGTGGGTCTCAGGAGTGCCATGCAGTCTTGCCATTCCTTCTGTCTAGAACACCATTCTCTTCCATTTTTGCCTCACCCTTCCCTTGGCTAGCCCCTTCAGGTTTCAGAAGGAACCACCGCTGGAAGGCTTCCCTGAGCCCCCACATCTTGGCCAGGTGCCCCTCCCTCCTCCTAGCCTAGAGTCTCTGCCCTTCTCTTGGCAGGGCACTAGCTACACTCCACCACAGTGCGTGTCAGAGCACCTGTCTCCACTGCATTCTGGATGCCGGGAGGGCCTGGAGACTATGTGTCAGCACTTACTAAACATTTGTTGGATAAATGAACTGAATGGAAAAGCCCAACTTCCTGCTTGAGGGCACTGCATCAAATTCTGGGCTGTCACCACAGATACAGGTAAGCAACTTGGATCTCTGACTCGTCTGCCTATAGGGAGACTCCTCAGGGATCTCCTGGGACCCCTCTGTTGGCTTTTCCTGGACACCTGCCAGAATGTCTCAGCCTGAGACATTCTCCTCAGGTCTGCCTCCTGTATAGAGGAAGGAGCCTGCAGGCAGTGACCCCGCCAACTCTATACCCATTTACTTAGCATGATTTCATCAACCCCGTAGAGGCCCCTTTGCCTCTAAAATCCCTTTCCTATTTTCAGTCCATGCCTAAAATTCTCCCATTAAGCCCATTAAATAAAATCTCAGTATTTTTGGCCTAAGGCTTAAATCGCTAGGTAAGATACAAATACTCCTGGAAGAGACAGGATCGATCAGACACCCACACTTCCAGCATTGATTGGTTTTTCAGTTCTTTCTAAGAGAACTGGTGCCACCGCTCTCCACAAGGTTAGGAAGGAGAGAGCAGCCGAAGGAGGGGGAAATCCTGGGAGGAGAGAGGTGACTTGATACAGCAAGGCTGATAGGGGCCTGGAGGATACTCTGACTGGAAGGAGAGTGACCAGCATGCTGGCAATGAAGAATGGTTAAGCAATGCTGACCCAGTTCTGAGGATTTCAGAGACTGCAGGGGATTTCGTAGGCATTAATGGTTCTAATCCTTGTTCCTCTTAAGTGATAGAGGGCTTGGTCATTTGAGTGACATGCCTCCTTTCCCGGAATGTGGGCGGCAAAGAATGACTCAACGAGATCTACAGATGCTGAGAACACTACCTTCTTAATACCTCTGGAGACACCTGCCTCGCATCCCTCAGGGTACTGGTTTGAATTTTAACCTGATTTTCCCAAGAGGAATAAAAGCTCTTGGCCACTGGGAGGTTTCCAGGTCTGCTCCATCTAGTCCTGGCCCGGGGATGGGTGGATCCCTGAGTCTCGTCCCTTACAGGCTACTTGAAATCTTGGGAAACTCAGACACACACTAGAGCATTGAACCAGAGTGGAGCGCATTTTTGATCCAAGCTAGAAGAGAACAGTTTGGGGCAAGAGTAATCTAGGACCCAGAAGACATCAGGATAGTCGCCAACCACATCAGGCAAGGTGGCAACAGAGTCCAGCCACCCTCTGTGGGGTCTACACATAACATGCCCCAGGCTGACACCCCCAGATACCATGTATGCCTCCCGCCCTGTTTCTCAGGGGAAATGAAAACAACATAAACAACAAGGGGAACCTGGAAACCTCCCAAAGTCAGCCTGTGTGCCAGAGGGGCTTGTGGGGAAAGGGAAGAAGAGGGCGGTGGGTCAGACTTCAGCCCATCTGCTGGTTGCCTTTCCCCCCATCCTCTCACCTCTGGGATATGCAGGGGACGGGTGTGGCAGGAGAAGATAGAAGAAAGAGGCTTGGACCAAGGGAAGGTCTACACACACAGGTGCAGGCATGCCACGAGAGTGTGCAGCCCGTATGACCCGCAGGATTGGGACAGACACACCTCAGGAGTGGAGACAGGTGAGGGCAGCTGTGGGCGTGTGCAAGCTGCAGGTATCCTGGGGGTGCAGGGAGTGGGTGAGTGTTGCCCAGGGGTGAGTTAAATGTCCGAGTAACCCACCCTGGTGTGTGTGGGCAAGGAAGGCAGAAGAGGTGGCCAGGCCCTGCCCAGGGAACACTTCTCAGATCACTCACCGGTGGCCTGGGAGGCCCCGAGAAACCCGAGAAGTCCCTAGCAAAGCCAGGCCCAAACTGGACACTGGCCAGCATGGGCTCTGGACACTTGTCCTCCAGGGGGCCCAGCTGAAGTCCTTCCCCACCCCTTGGTTTTCCCTCAGCCCCAGGGCCCTCCCTCCTCTGCCCTACACACTCATGCCTGCACTGTGGCAACAGCATCTCACCAAGTTCGTCAGCCTCTCCCCACCTGTGCTCCAGCACAGTCTGCTGCTCGCCTCAGGAAATCACACAATCCCTTCCTCAGGAACCCGTCAGGAGCCCAGCTGCCCTGTCCCTTGGATCCCTGTTCCTCCTCTGCCTGGCCCCAGCCTCCGTTTCCTGCTTCTCCTGTCATCCCCCCACCACGCCCCCCAAGGACCAGACCTGGGATCAAACACTACTTCCACCTTTAGGCAATTATCAGCCCTCACCCACCCAGTGGGCATCAGCACTACCCTCAGGTCGTTCAGAGGAGCAAGCTGCCCCCTACAGGTGCTCCCAGATGCCCAGGGGCTTCTCTCCCTCCCTCAAGATGTCCTCTTCCCCACATCAGGCTCCCAGGACCTGCAGACGCTCACACTATGCCCCTCTCAGATCCCAGGCCGTCAGAGTGGCCTTCCTTAGCTACTCCTGGCTTTCGGTGTCCTCCTCCAGTTTTTTTTTTTTTTAAATTTCACTTATTTATCTATTTATTTATTTATTTGAGAGAGAGAGAGAAAGCATGAGCAGGGGGTGGAACAGAGAGGGAGGCAAAGGGAGGGAAAGAATCTCCAGCAGACTCCCTGCTGAGCACATAGCTGGACCCTGACCCTGAGACCTTGACCCTGAGACCCTGACCCTGATGAGGCTTGGCTCTCACAACCAGGGGAGCATGACCTGAGCCCAAAGCAGGAGTCAGAAGCTTAACGGTTTTTCACTGACTGAGCCACACAGGCGCCCCCAGTTCTAAATTCTATAGTGACAAGATTAGAATGCCATCTCCTGTTACTGGCCTATAATTACTTTGGATATCAAAGTCTCCCTTGTTAAAATGTACACTTGGGGGGGGGGCCCTGGGTGGCTCAGTTGGTTAAGCCATTGCCTTTGGCTCAGGTCGTGATCCCGGAGTCCAGGGATCCCAGCTCTGCGGGGAGTCTGCCTCTCCCTCTGACCTTCTCCCTTCTCATGTGCTCTCTTTCTCTCAAATAAATAAATAAATAAAAATAAACTATAAAAAAAATGTACACTTGGTATCATAGCTCTCTGCCTTCTCTGCCCACCACCCTCCCACCAACCCAGAACCTCTCTAGCCTAAATCTCAGGGTGAGGGCAGTATGAATATCATGAGCTCTGGGGAGCCCTGGTGGCCCTTGGGCCATTCCTGTGTGGTCACCAGTGAGGGGGGACACGCCCTCAGCCATGGGGCCTTGACACAGAGCTTTCTCCTCCTTGAGGGCCAAGCTTCTCTCTGGATGGGGCAACTTGAGGGTGGCATAGGGAGGGGATCTGGGTTCTCCTGATTTCTTGAATTCCCAAAGATAAGCATGAGAAGAGCATCCTGACCGCCCAGATGCCTTCATTTCTCACTGAAGCCAGAGTCTTCCCGGGACCCCCATAACCTGGGAATGCAGTGGGGGCTGGGACGAAGGCAAAGTTACGTCTGTGAAAAACACTGCACAACCAGCCCTGGTGAGTCAAACTGCATCGTCCATGGGGCTACGCTGCCAAGCTGGTGCTGTGCAGGTTCTGCCATGAACTCCAGAACCCAGTGTAGGGGCCATACACCAAGAAGGGGCCCTCGGACTAGGCTGACAGATGGGCCTCTCCCTCTCCTTCACCTCTACTGGCCCACCAACTCATTCAGAAGCAAGGAGTACCCAGTGTAGGAGAAGCTGCTGCCCCTGGAAATGGGTGCTAGGGGAGTGGGAAGGAGAGAGTAAGGTGAGCGGGGCTCTCAGACCCAGGCAGACTGTAGGGGCTGATCGTGCCAAGGTTACAGGTGAGACGAGGGACCTGGAAAAATGATATAACCCCCAAAGTCTGAAATACAACCTGAGTATAGCAGACACACCCACACCCACCCACACCCATACCCACCCACACCCACACCCCCACACCGCCACACCTTGCACACCTCCGATGTGTCTCCAGCCAGGTCCCACAAGCAGAGGAGGCAAGACAGGGCAGGATACTCACCCCTATCAGCCTGTCGGACATTTCTCATCCGGATGACCTTCACGGTCAGCATGTGGCATGGAGACAGCCCGCCCTGTGGATGGAGAGGATAGTGGGCTCAGTCTTCAGGTGACAGCGCTGACAGAGAGAGCAGCTCAAGCCACCCACAGGCTCCCACTGCTCAGACTCAAGAAGCCTCTCCTGCCAATGTGCATTTCTGGGCTCCAGAGGATATCACTGGCCCCCAAGGCCACTGAGGTGAGAGGCTTTTTCCTCCCCTCACTATGAGCCAGCACATCTTGGAAGGAGACCGCTTCAGGCCTGTTCTGTTCATGCTTTTCCTGGTTGAATCACAGGATTTGAAGACCCTTCCCTGAGAGTTTTACCCAGGCTTAGAGGAGTCTGTTTACCATTCACTCCTAGCCTGCGCCCATGGCAGATGCCCTGGGACCCCTCCCACTGACCAAATGACCATATTTACAGAGGCCTTTGAACTAGAACCTTTTACACTCCACACAGTTCACGCTATGCTATCAAAATCTCATTATGCCTTTTTAGGAGGATGCAATTCTCTATTTAAAATATTATTGGGGTTTTGGGAAAAACATAAAAGTATGAAGAAAAAGAAAAGTCTCCAGCATCCCACCACTCAGAGACGATCACTGTAATCACTTTCTTGTTTTTTGGGTTTTTTTGGAAGGTTATAATTAGGGGCACCTGGGTGACTCAGTTGTTAAGCGTCTGCCTTTGGCTTGGGTCATGATCCCAGGGTCTTGGGATTAAGCCCCATATCAGGCTCCCTGCTCAGCAGGGAGTCTGCTTTTCCCTCCCCCTCTATCCCTCCCTTCTGCTTGTGTGTGCACTCTCTCTCTCTTTCTCTCTCTTGCTCTCTTTCTCTCAAATAAATAAAATCTTTAAAAAAATAAATAAATGTTATAATTATTCTGATTTTCAACTAAGACTGTACACAGATCATTTATGTGCTTTGGGTGTCGTCAAAGGTAATAATACTGTAAGACCTATAGTTAGCATCTACTGAGCCCTTACTATTTGCCAGACACTTTTCTTACATTTTTAAATCTTCATAAGACCTTTATAACAAAGGTTTTGCTATCTTTTTAAATTGATATATAATTGACATGACATTGTATTCATTTTAAGTGTACAATGTAATGATTTGATATACACAGATACTGCAGTAAGATTACCACAAGGAGTTAACACCCATCACCATACAGGGTGACAATGAGCTTTTTTCTTGTCATGAGAACTGTCACCATTTTGATGTCTGTCCTTCCAGCCTCTTCCAGAGCTCCATTCTAAGCAGCAACAACAGAACAATACCCAGGGGGCTGCTCCACAGACCCTGAGATAGAATTAGAGCCTCTTCCTCCTCAATCCCCATTAGCTGCCTCAGAATCAGAGCAGAAGCCAAACTGATAGTTATAAATAGTCTTTATATTTTCTAGTTATATATAGGTCTGAATCCCTTCGTGGGAGGCTGGCTCTGAAATAGCCAACCTCACGAAGGTGAGGGTGTGAGGCTGTCTTCAGAGTCCGTAATTCGATCTCACAGGATTCTCTTTGGAGCTGAGTGACTCAGCCAAAAGGCCACGCACACCGCTTCTCCCCCCCTCCCCGGGGGGTCTTTGGTCAGGCCCATTCTAAGCAGGGTGGGCTCCTCATTTCTCACTCCCCCTTCTAGTGGAGTGGGTGTCCTGGTCTGATCTGGTGAGGAAGAGAGAGTTGGGCTTCACCTGTGAGAGCGTCTGTGGCAAAGCCTGTTCCCACTGGCCTACTTTCTCAGAGGGCAACAAGAGTTCAAATGGACCCCCGAAGGCCTCAGCCCGGGCCAGGGTCAGTCCTCAGGGACATTTCATAGCATTGAAGGGCTTCTCCTGCCTCCCGGAGGGGCTGGACTGCCCACACCACCACCCCCCCCCCCCCCCCCTGCCCCATGTGTCTTCTCTGGAAGGGCATGAGCACTCACGGCTTCCGGTAGGACCTCACTCCAGGTGCCCCCTGCCTTCCAGGAAAAGTCCTCTGCTGCCATCGAAGCCTGACACCCTCCAGGGAGGCTGCCCACCTCTTCCCACTCTACCTCAGCAGCACCAACCGACTCAGCGGCAACCTGTCAAGCGTCCGCCATGTCCACCATGTGCTAAGCGTGGTGTGTGTAATCTCTACATTCCATCTTGCTCAGTCCTCACAACACCCCCACGGAGCAGTTATTATTAGCCTCACTTTACAGATGGCGAATCTGAGTCTGAGTCCTTGGATGTTGGGCCCTCAGCTAGAATCAGAGGAGCCCTAGTTTGAATTCAATTTTAATTCTTCAGCCTGAGCGTGTAACCACGACCATGGTATCCCCTTACTTGGAACCGAGCATTAACATTAAACAAAAAGACAGGTGCCACTTGCCTCCCACCCCCTCCTCCTTCATCTTTTCCTCTTAGAAACTATTTCCCTGGGATGCCTGGGTGGCTCAGTTGGTTAAGCAGCTGCCTTCAGCTCAGGTCATGATCCCAGCGTCCTGGGATCGAGTCCCACATCGGGCTCCTTGCTCGGCGGGGAGCCTGCTTCTCCCTCTGCCTCTGTCTCTGACAAATAAATAAATAAAATGTTTAAAAAAAAAAAAAAAAGAAACTTTCCCTGATAGATTCTTCTTTTCACTGGGATTCCCCCAAGACTCTAAAATAACCCCCAAACTCTAATAGTCCTTCTACTTGCAATGCTTTCACGAGCTATATTTCTGCCACTATATTCCACCATCTCGCTCTTTTTTAAAGAGCCAGCACACACAAGAGCCTAAGAGTTCTTGAAGGAGAAGGCTCCTCTGTGGTCTACCTGGAGTCTCAAATCACAGCTTCTAGCTCAGGAATCTGCAGGAGAGACCAGTTCCAAAGCGCTCCTCAAAAGACTCTGACATTTCGCCAGCAGGGAGACAGAACCTGGCAGGGGTGTCGAGAGAGAGCCCAGAGTGGTCATGCTGGGAGGAAAGAGGTGGGAACATGGGACTCGAGTCTTGGGCCCAGATGAGTGCGACACCCAGGTCTGTGAAAAATGACTGTCTTGGATAAAAATGAATGTACCTGTTTTGCTCTTGCTATAACCAGCTCAACGGAAGGAGTGCTGGAGAGAAGCAAAACTTATGGCCCCAGAGGTAACTGAAACATGGTAGAAAGATCCAGTGGAACAAAGTACCAGTGTCTGTGGCTGTGCAGATGGGAACCAGAAACCAGGGACATTACAGATCCCAAGTTTACGGGGTAGCTTACAGTGTGGTAAGGATAAACACTTTAAGGACTTGAACAAGCCTGACCCTAGGACGGGATGCCTTGGCTGGTAATCAGACTGAAAATAAAAATTACTGAGCAGCAGCCATGGCTGGGCACCATGCCAGCTGGGCTGTGGCCCAGAGCTGGGATGGACATTGATGGGGGCCTTGCAGGGTCCTGGGTAAGGATCAGGGAGCACCCGGGGAGCTGGAGCTCAAGGGAGAAACTGTTGGGCAAACAGTAAAGAAATGTATTCAGCGCATTAATAACCAGTAAGTACAGCTGTGCAGGGAAGGTGGGCCTGAGCGGTTTCGTGGAAGCCATGTGGAAGAAAGGGCTCTACTGTTCAGGCGGCTCTGGCTCCGCCCTCCTCCCTGACCTTGATTCCTGGAGCGGAGCTTGCAGGACCCTACTTCCCCTTGAGACCTACTCAGAAGAGGGGGATCTTGCCAGCTCTTGTGGACAAGATGTGACTCTTTGACTCTCAGGACTGGCTATTAGGCAATTCAACAGACGCCCCCACCCCACCCCGCCCACCCCCAACTTCGTAGATAGGACCCTGGTGCGGGTCGCAGAGCACAACTCTCTGTCCTCCAGCGCGCCCGGCCCTGAGCCCACCCCAACGGGCACCGCATTTGTTCTCATGTAGCACCCCAGCCACGCTCCAAGGAAGGTGCTCTTACCCCCTACTTTGTGGAGAAGCCTGGGTCTAGAGAGACTGCTTCTCACGCCCGCACCCAGCGCCAAAGCTGCAGGGCCGGGACTTGGGTCGCAGATCTCCCTGACCGCAGGGCAGCGTGCGTTCCATCCGCCTGGGGGCTGGCTCTCACAGAGAATTAACCAAACCCGCAAAAAGCTTGCTCCTGGTCATGCCCTGGACTCCTTAATAGCAGAGGCAGCAGTAAGCCCTCAGCGGCCAATTCAGGGCTCTCCCTGCACCCCAGGTTTGGCTGTCACCACAAATTGGTCAGAAGAATTGTCACCAACGGGCTCCCACATCAGGAGTGGGGAGAGGGGGAGGGGGTCTGACACGTGGGGTTTCAGAAGTGGTGGGTGTGATACCCATCCCCCGGGGCCAGGCAACCCTAACCAAACCAGCCCACAAGGTCTGGGGTGCAGGAGAAGGCAGACGGCTCCGAGGGCGCCTGTGGGAACTCCCTCACCAAGGCTTCCGGGGCAGGCCTGGCCGGTGAGGCCACCTCCTCCTCCCCCCGGGGGAGCTGGGTGTATCCATCCCACCGGTTCCTTGCAACACCTGTGTCAGAGCTCCCAACAGCCCAGCGGTGGCTTCCAGAATGTGTGGGCCCTCCCTAAAAGGACACCATTGGGATGGGGACTTCATGGGACCTCAGGACATGACCCAGCTAGTGTGAGCACCATCCCAGACCAGGAGGAGCTAACATGGCTGTTTTCCTTTTTTATCACACAGGGGAGGTGAGGGATCAGGGCAAGAAGTCCAGCTCTGAGTCATGGAGCCTTGGGGACCTGAGAGGGACAGGCACACTTCTTAGCTGCTCCACACTGCCCTTCAAGGTGCTCTGTCCCTTCTGTGGAAGCTCTCCCCTCACCCAGCCCAGGTTCGGAGGCTCCAACAGACTAGGGAGGCAGGAACAAGTGCTGACCAGAGGCTCTCCAGCCCCCTTAGAGCTGTGGGGAAATGTGGGGACACCCCAGAAGGTGACACCTATCCTGGCCAGGATAGCAGAGCACCAGGCACCATGAAGCTTGGAGCTCCCTTCCTTGGGCTCCTGGGAGGCTGAGCAGGGTCTCTACCTTCTACCCCCAAAGGGCAAGACTTTTTTGGGGGGGTCTCACTCATCTCATTGATTCAGTGTGGGCTGGGGGAGGGGCCTGAAGAGGAGAACAAGGAAGAAGATGCTGCTGCCAGGCCTGGCCGTGTCGTGCCAATGGCAAACTGGAAGCTTGAGGTAAATGGGAAAGCAGAGGCAGAGCTGGTCTGGAGCCCTGGCAACCTGACCCTTGAACCCAGGGTCTCCCTAGGGGGCTAAGGGGAGTCTGACAGACCCGGGAGTCTTGACCACAGATCCAGCTGGGCTTCTCAGCCCATGTGGCAGGTTGGCAATGCCACTGATCCTTCTGAGACACCACACCACACACTCACACAGCATGGAAGCTTAGACTGTCCACAAGGTCAACACTGGCTCACCGCTAGGACGGGCTAGGATGGATCCACCCCTGGCAGTACTGAGCACCAACTACCTGGGTGCTGGCCTGGCCCCAGAAGGCCCTGAGCCACACCACCACACCTGGTCGAATCTGTGGGCACCCTTAGCTGGGCCATCCACCCAGGAGCCCCATCCGGGCCAGACCACATCCCCAGGTGCCAGGTCAGGCCCCAAGCCCAGATGCTCCGTGTCTCTGGAGTCTACAGTACTCACAGCCCTCCCGGTGCCTGCCTCCTGCACTCAGCTTCCTGCCCCACCTACCCAGTGCGGCTCCCTCACCTCTGAGGCCCGGGGGGCTGAAGGCTTGCCATCTTCCGCGTGGCGTAGTTCTGGTAGGTAGTGCGAGAGCCAGGCGGGCATCTGTCTGTGCAGCATCGTGGCGGCTCTCCAGCTGGGTGGCAAGATTGGGAATTTATATTCTGACTCAGAGCTCCACCCTCTGGATACCTCTCTGCTGGGATTGCATGGGGAGGGGTTATGGTGGGTAGGCGGATGGGGAGGTGGGGGGCCTCGACCTCTTGGTATAAAGGGACCCTGAGGCCTTCAGATCTTGGAAAGGCAGGAAGCAGCAGGGGGCTCCAACCCTTGAGGTCAGCAGGCTGCTGCCCCCAGAAACTTAGAACCACCTGGTGGTCCAAGGGAACAGGTGGCAAGAAGGGCATGCTGGACCCTCACAACCTTAGGATTAGCCCAGCCATGATTTGGGATAAGTCATTTCTCTTCAGCTTATCAAGGTCATGCCCTTCTGGGCATCTAGGGAGAGGTATGGGGAATAGTACCGTCCCTCCTAACTCCACGTAGTCCCACACCTTGGTACCCAGGAGCTGTGGGCAGAGACCACGTGGGAGGCAGGCAGGATGGTCAGGGTTCCCAAAGTTAGAGGGAGAAGAAAAAAATAATTGCCTGAATCCTTGGTGAGGAAAGGGTCAAGTGCAAGTGTCCCCAGCTCTCCCTCCTGGGAGGCCAGGTGGAGAGAGGGTGTGCCCAGCCTCTGCCTATCTCAGGACAGCTTAGAGGATGCTCCCATTCCACCCATCTGATTCCTATCTCTGGCCTGATGGCTGCCTCACTCAGGGGCCTGGTGGGGTGACTTCGCCGGCTTGGCTGCCCGGCTGGGTACATTGGGAGTTTCCTGCCTGAGCCATCGCCCGAGGCCCTACAACCGGCTTTTCTGGCCCACATATTAAAGTGATTTTGTGAAATTGAGGGTGAGATCTGAACACAGGGCTGACTAGGCCCAAATGCAGGGATGGAACCTGGTTGGTGGTATCTGTGAGATGCCTTTCTGTGCCCGGCAGAGGTGCCCCCCTCCGCCCCACCCGCCCCCCTCTGCTGTTCAGGACCTCCAGAAGGCAGATGGGGCCTCAGCATGGACCCCTCTCAGCTTGCATCCTTCCCCTTCCCTGCCATCTACCCCTCAGCCAAGGACACAGACTCAGCACCCACAGTCCTCAGTGGAATCCACCAAATTCAATTTAGTTCACACACTTAGTGAGCACCAACTGTATAAATGCTACTAAGAGAGGAAAGTCCAGGCTTGAAGTTGCTGATAGTCCAGCGGTGGGGGGGGGGCAAATGTATCCAACCGCTCAGAGGCTCAGAGGTCCAAGTCTCCAAAGGTAACAGGGGGCATCTTAGAAGGAGGAATACAAATTCACGTTTATAAACCTATGGTTCACATAGCTAATAACTGGCTAGGGAGCCCAGAAAATAGAAGGCAGATGTTGGCTGGAAGTAAAAGAGCAGATCTGGGAAGGCTTCATGCAGGAGGTGGCACCTGATTTGGGTCTTAGAGGATGGCTAGGATTTCAAAAGCTAATGATAGGTGGGAAAGGTATGCTAGGAGGAAGGGAACAGCATGTGCAAAAATAGGGAGGCCAGAAAGCAGGGTCTGCTCAGCTATGCAAGTAGTCTGGAGTAAGGTGTGGAAGGAGATGTGGGGTGTGGACTGTGAGACACAGGAAATGTGGAAGTTGGGCAGAGAGGAGGGAGGCTTTGTGAAAGAACAAATCCAGAAAGATATATTAGGGCCCAATAGTTGTGACCCTCAAAGGTCAAGCTTTAAATTTGAACTTACTCCCAAGGCAGTTGAAGAGCCATCGGTGGTTTTTGAGCAGGAGAGTGACATGATCAGAGCTGAACTTTAAGAAGGCAATGCTGACTGGTGTTGTGGGCAACCCAGCCCACAGCACTACAGTGTCCTGAAAGTAAGGCGTGAGGGATATGCTGAGTTCTGGGGAACCTCCTCACTGGGGATCCTTCCTGCTTGTCCCTTCCCTCCACTCTGTTGCCTTTTGCCTATCAAATAGGCCCAGGGAAAGCCCCCAACTCCAGGGCATTTCCCAAAGCCTGGTACATGATCCTCTCCTCACCGAAGAAGCCCAGCCACAGCCCGCTCCATCCATCCAGGGTAACACACGGAAAAATCTAGGTCTTCAACCCCTTTATTTCCTCATGGTCCAAAATGCTTCAAGAGCAGGATCTCATTTCAGCTGAATGAAATCAAATTGAGTAGGAGGCTAAGAGGAGGTGATTTGGAGTTCCTTCCTCCCACTCCTTGCATGGCTTCTGACCCAGGTTGGAGCTGGTGCAGTGGTGAACTGAGGGAACATTCCAGAAGCAAGCACATCCTTACTGCCCACTGTGCGCCCCGCTCTGTGCTGTCTGCTCAGGGCAGGATCTGGAAGGAAACCACCAAGGATTTACAATCTAGTGAGAGGAGAAGAGGGAGCTGAACTCAAGGGTAAAGGGTCCATCGTGGACTTTAAGCAGGGCGGGAGGGGAGAGGGGCCTCCGTGGGGATGGCGCGAAGTGTGCTGGGAAAGTATGGAGTGCCAGTCCATGTGACCAAATAAGGAATGCATCAGCCTCCCCTTCGCACCTAATACATCTCCAAATGAACACACATTTGAAGCTTAAACAGTGTTCTTGGTACACAGCTGATGCTCCAAGCCTGGTCCCCTTTCTCACCTTGTCCCAGAGTCACTTCATGGGGAAATTCTAAAGCTGCTGCTACAGAGCAGAAGGCACTGAGTTCCTTCCTACCCAGCTCCTCTCCTCCTGGATGCACAGGGAGCCTGAGATCTCCCCCAGAAACCCTGCATCCTGGGAGGCCTCTGCCTGTGGCAATGTCCAGGGCCTTCTTAAGTGACTCCAATTGACTACTGCAACCAGGACCTTCCTCTTGCCAGCAGCCCTTGACCTTGGGGAAGCCAGCACTGAAAAGCATTTGTCCAGTGGTTCCGCTGACATCCCTCCCCGGAGAAGCCCAAGAAGTCTGCAAGGATGAATTCCTCACCTTTCCTCTTTCAAGAGGCTTCTGTGGCCTGTCCCTCCCTTCCTATCCTGGCCATGACATCTGTCTCTCAGCCTCCTCATTCTCTCAGGGATTCATCCCCCACACACCTGGCTGGCCAGGGAGCTTTGGAAACACCCCTTTAAACAGCCATTCTCCTGCTCAAATGTATCCAATGCTTACCCATCCTTTGCCAATAAATTTTGTATTCCAGCACTTTCCTTAAATCAAGTAAAGCCCCCAAACAGCCCTATGCATATATATGGAATTTTAGAATATGATAAAGGAAGTCTTTCAAATAGGGGTGAAGGGATGGGCTATTCGTTATTGGAAAAGCTAGCTTGCCACTGGAATAAAATACTTCGATCCCAACTTTATAATTACACAGAAACAAATTCCAGACAGATTAAATATCTAACCATTAAAATAAAACTACAGAAGATTTAAAATAAGATATTGGAGAATATTTATATAATACTGGGATGGAGAGAATCTTCCTAAATCAGGTACAAAACCTAGAAGCCAATAAGGATATATTACCAGATTTGAATACAGAGAAACATATAAAATTTCGGGAAAGCAAAAGGATGCTACAAGGACACTATTATCTGCAAAATATATCCCAAATTTCTTCCTCTTGATAAATATCCATGGGTAACAAACTCACCCTTAAAAAAATACTGGTGGGGTGCCTGGGTGGCTCAGTGGGTTAAAGCCTCTGCCTTTGGCTCAGGTCATGATCTCAGGGTCCTGAAATCAAGCCCCACATTCGGGCTTCCTACTCAGCAGGGAGCCTGCTTCCCTGCCTCTCTCTGCCTGCCTCTCTGCCTCCTTCTGATCTCTCTCTGTCAAATAAATAAACAAAAATCTTAAATAATAATAATAATAATACTGGTAAAAAGGAGAGTCTTGCCCTACCAGATTCTGAGTAAACTACAAAGGCATACTTAGACAAGCAGTATGTTGTTGGTGTAAGAACCGGACCAATGGGATGAAATAGAGGGATGGGAGATACACCTTGTTAAGGGAACTTAATCAATGATAAAGTTGGCACCACAAGTCAATAGGGAAAGAACAGCTGTTTAACAGATGACGTGGACATGAGTGGCTCACTAAATAGAACAAATTAAACAGCATCCCCACTTAGTTCTATGCTAAATAAAAGGGCTGTAAATGGGATCAACACCTGACATGGAAAACGACGAAGTTCATAGAAGACAATGTAGGAGACTCTTACCTGTGATCTGGGGATGAGAAGGATTTCTTAAACAGCACTTTGAAACCATGAACCATAGGGCAAAAACATTTCTAAATGTCGTTACATAAGGATTAAGGATTTCTGTCAACTAAGATCACACACAAAAAAGTTGATAGATGGAAGAGAGAATGACGAAAGATATTTATAATGCATCCGCAAATCACCAAAGGATTGACATCTGGCATACACAAAGAATTTTTATGTAATCCACAAGTAAAATGATGGCTGCACCAGTGCAAAAACGGACCAGAGATTGGAACCCGCAGTTTATATTGGAGGGAAACCCAAAAAGCTAACAGGCATTTGAGGAGATGCTTAAAATCATCTACATTCAGGGAAGGGCACATTGAAACACCAATGAGATTTCACTGCAGCTATTCAGTCGGAAAACACGGAGAAGGCTGAGTCGTGGTTGCCTTTCCCGACGAGAGAATGGGGAAGGATATGTGGGTACAGGGAAATAACCAATCATAGGGGCAAGCATGGAGCTCATGGGACTGAAGAAGATGTGCTCCATGTCTTCGGTCCTCTGCACAAAGAGGAGACTTTTTCCCTCCAGTTTTCCCCAGCTTCACGGCCACTGGTCTAGTGCCAGTCACCACCTCCACTCATTTCAACGACTGAGTTAGCCTGACTGGTCTCCCTGCTTCCACTTTTGCCTTCCTACAAGCCATTCTCTGCTGAAGGCACAAGTGATCTCCTAAAAACAACAGCTACATTATGTGATGGCCATGAGTAAAACCCTCCCAGCGCCTGGCTACTCTCACATCTTGCCATGGCCCTGAAAGGTCCAGGGTAGTCTAGCTACTCACATCTGTTCTA